CAGCACCCACCTTCCTGAGCACCAGTTCTCCATTCATGTGCATGGCCAGATTCCCAAAGTGCAGGAGCATCTGGTCTGTGGCCAGCTGCTGCTCGATGACATCATCCCCATAGATGGCCACGATGGCCACACAGATGAACAGGTGGAAGTAGTCCGTCTACAGGGAGACAGAGCGCTCAGAGGGGCCCTTCAAGTCTGAACCACAGTTCAGCCATGAGCCTGGCTCAGGCTATCTGAGACTGAGCCTGTGCTCGAAGGTCCCGTGTGCCTGGGAATCCTGCATCTCTGGCTCCTCCTCCGTTTCCCCACCTGAAGACAGGGCCAGTGTTGGCAGCCACATCCTGGGCTGCTGTGACACACTAATGGATGGTAACTGTGCCACACCCTGGCTGTTGGTGCTCTCTCGGGAGGCGTCTGGGATGAGGGAAAAGAAGACCTTCCTTCCAACCCTGTCTGAGCTCACTGCAGAGTCCCATCCACAGAGGTCTCAAGGGTGCCATGTGTGTGCAAAGGGCTGACCAGACTGCTTCCTGACGGCTGTACGCAGGCTATGCCAACAGGGAAGAAGTTCTGGCAGCTGACTTCTGGTGGCGTGTCTCCTGCTTCAGCTCAGCATCCTCACTACATGACCCCACGCTATGGCTGGTTGCAGAGCATGTGGGAAGATTCCTACTAAGATTCCCTGGAGGCCGCGTGGAGGGCTGCTACCATCTTGTGGCCCCTAGCCTCCTTTCCAGATGCCCACAGTCCCTCCCCTCCTTTGGGGCGACCTTGTGGTGCTCTCTTGCCTGGACACCTGTAGGTGCTCAGCCGTGACACAGAAGGACGGGGGCTCTGGGAACGCCCTCTTGAGTATCCTGATAACACCGTGTAGGCTGTCATCTCCCAACCAGACCGGCAGCATACAGAGGCTGTGGGTGCTGAAGTCCCCATCCCATGCCTGCCCACCCGCTCTTCCAAAGGGGTGGGAGGAAGGGAGAGGGAAACACTCTGTGGAGACTGGACCAGAGCACAGGGCAAGTCCCAGCTCCGGGGGCAGGGGCACAGCAGCAAGCCACAGCACAGAGGACTGCAGGAAGCCTTTGCTTGGGAAGCCGAGGCCTCACCTGCCAGTGACTTCCCTCCAGAGTTCACTCCTGGCTCATTCATCATCTTCCCTTCCTCCCGTTCTCAGCTGATGGGGGAAGGAAGACCTTCCAGATGTGACCATTAATCCCAAAACCTGAAGGCAACACCAACTCGCTTTGTGGGTCTTGAACAAGACGGTGGCCAACCGGGGCTGAGCAGCAGGTGCTGCCCACAGCCTCAGAGGACAGCTGGGTTATTTCCCATGACTCAGCCTCCCTAGCCAATCTGAATCAGAATATCTGTCTAGAACAGTCTTTAAGTCTAGGATGCACTGGCAGAGGAGAGGTGACTTCGGTGTGTGCTTTTCATAGCTGGGGTTAGAGGTAGAGGAGGACAGAGCTATGCCCTGGACACATGGATGGTACTGTTTTCTGTTTGTGCAAGCCCATGTGTAAACGTACAAATGTGTGCCCATGTGAAGCTAGAAGACAGTTTCTCAGGGTCTCTCACTGGGCCCCGGAGCTCAGCAATTAGGCTGAACTGCCTGGCTGGCAAGCTCTAGGGATTTGCCTGTCTCTGATACCCCAGCACTGGAGTTACTAGTATGCGCCTCCCCAGTTGGGTTTTTTGTTTGTTTTGTTGTTGTTGTTGTTGTTTTAGACAGTTCACACTGTGTAGCTTTGACTTGCCTAGAACTCACAAAAACCTCTCTGCCTCTGTCTCTGGAATACTGGGATTAAAGGTGTGTACCTCCATGTCTGGCATGCCTGGCTTTTTTAAAAACACAGGTTCAGGGACTACAGTATAGAGCCACGAGCTTGCAAGGCAAGCACTTCACCTACTCAGCAATCTCCCCAACTTTTGGTGGTATTATTATTATTATTATTACTATTACTATTATTATTTAAGACTGATGGAGTCAAACTGACTTGCCGACTTTCTTACACTGATGGCTTGGGTGTAGCTCAGGTGGGAATACAGACTCAGCCTGGTGGCTGGAGGAGAAACTGATCATGTCAAATACAAGTGGATGCCCTCATCCCTGAGCCAGGCTCTCTCTGGAGCTGTGGGAAGGCAGGAGGAGCTCGGGGTGGCCCGAAAGTCTTGGGGACAAGGCGGCATAGCACTGGCCACAGCATGTGGCACATACACCCTGGGCTGCTGTGACTGACATCCCTCCCACTGACTGGCTGTGACAGAAGGGAGTCAGTGAAGAGCGTGTCAGCCAACAATTTACATTATTTCAAATACATGGGATGGGAGGTCTGAAGTGGGCTGCACAGGCCTGGAAAATGGTGGCTGTGAGAGGCGGTGATGGTGGTGGCGGTGGGTGGTTGGGGCAAGGAGGAGACAGCCCCACACGAGAAAAGGCTGGGGGTGACCCCAGGACCCTACCTTCCCCACTGCGCCTGCCCAGCTCACCTGGTAGTGGGCCCAGCAGGCCTCCCAGATACGCAGGGCCTCGGCCTCAGGAAACTCCCGTTTGAAGCAGAGTAGGAGCCAGCGGTGGCAAAACAGCATCTGGAGCCCGTCCTCGCCCAGGGAGACCAGGTGCTGGTAGAAGCGCTGCTGTGTCAGCCTGAGCAGCTCCCGCAGGTACAGCTGGAGGGGGAGGAGGGTGTTAGCCAGGCTCCGGGAAAGCCTGACTACCAGGGCCAGGAAGCCGATACTCAGAATACCTTCAACCCCAAAAGCACACACAGGAAGTCTCTCTGCCAAACCCATCAGCCAACTACTATGTCAGTCTACCACTGGAACCTTCTCTCTCTCTCTCTCTCTCTCTCTCTCTCTTTCTCTCTCTCTCTCTCTCTCTCTCTCTCTCTCTGTGTGTGTGTGTGTGTGTGGAGAGAGAGAGAGAGAGAGAGAGAGAGAGAGAGAGAGAGAGAGAAAGAGAGAAAGAGAGAGAGAGAGAGCAGGCCAGAAGTTAACATCGGGTGTCTTATTTTTTAAAAAGAGTTATTATTTAAAAATTGGACTTATATATTTTCTGTGTATGAGTGATCTGCATGTTTGCCTGTGTGACGCACAGATACCCGGTGCTCATGGAGGCTGCAAGAGGGAGTTGGATCGACCCCCAGGATCTGCAGTTACAGATGGTTGCAAGCAATTATATGGGCACTGGGATCCAAATCCAGGACCTCTGCAAGAGCAGTCAGTGCTCTTAACCTCTGAGCCGCCACCCCAGCCCTTATTTTATTTTATTATATTTAATTACATATGCAGAGATGGGTCTATGCACATGACTTCCGGTAGCCACGGAGGCCAGAGGAGACAGATAACTCTGAAACCGGAGTTAAAGGCAATTGTGAGCTCATTGATACAGGTGCTGGGAATCCAACTTATGTCCTGCACAAGAGCAGTGCATGCTATAAACCTCTGGCCATCTTTCCTGCTTGAGTCTACCTTTTTTGAGACCGTGTCTCTCGCTGAATCCAGAGCTTGCCAATTAACTGGACTGGTTGGGCAGCAAGCTCCAAGGATCCACCTGTGTGAGCTTCCCCAGCACAGGCCCAGAACATCCAAGTGCTGCGAATCTGGGCTTCGGTCCTCACGCTTGCACAATAGGCACTCTGCTGACCGAGTCATCTCCACCACTGGAATCTTGCTCACACCTGTCTGCCAGTTCATCTTAGATTTGAAGATATTCTAGAAGGAGACCGCGGTATAGCCCTAGGCATAGAATGATCTCCTGGGTGGTCAAGGAGGCTGACTCAGTGTGAAGTCATCCCCCAGCCTCAGCCGACTGACCCCCAGGGACTGTTTCTAATATATGCCTGACCTGGCAGGGCAGCAGGGCAGTTCCTGAAACTCCAGCTAAAGCCTCTTCTATCTCACCACCATCTAGCAACTCCCAGAGCTGACCGGGGGAGAGTATGTGTCTGAGTTTCAAGACCCTGGGTTCCTGTGTGGCAGGTCACCAGGTTGCATGGGACTTGACAGGCTATTTCTGGAAGCACCAGGTGGGGGCTGCTGACTTCACTGACGCCACGAGAAAACCAATCTCCAACAGCTAATGAGTCACTGGCCATGTGCCACCAGGCTGCCAGGGCGATGGCGTCAGACCCTGTAATTGCCTCCCTGGGTACCGTGGCAACCTGACATCACAGCGATGCGTGATGAGGCAGGGCCGAGTGTCTGGTTGGGGTCAGTTGTTGGCTGCCTAGCAGGGTCGGAGGCTCCTGAGTACAGTGGGGCTTTGGGACTCTGCACCACTCTGAGGCAAGCACACTGCTGCTCCTGGTGCCTGAAGCTGTGTGGCTCTGGATCCAGGAGCCCTTCCTCACTGGTTGGGGTCTCCAGTCTGTGGCTCATGGAAGGTCAAGGACACCATGTGGCTGACAGCTTTCTAATGGCTGCCCAATGTGCACGACTGCCCGGGTGCCCGGTACTCCTGCTGCCTGCTGCCTCTCACTCACGCCTTCCTTGCTGCGCTCAACCCTCCAGTTCCTAGTGGCTGATGTTCGGGCTATGCATCTTGCTCTTCCTCAACTCTGCCATCACTGCATGAGGCACACCTCGTCCAGCAAGAGACCACTGGGCCTGGTTACCTGAGTCTCCATGCTTGAGACCCGTATGGATTAGAGACACCTGTGGTTCCTGTCCCCAGAGCCCAGTGCCCTCTGCTCGTATGTTCACACTATCAGCACATCTCGTCTGCTTCCAGACCAGGCCATCTGCAGGATGGAGGGCAGGCCACCCGCATCCAGGCCTGGAACCAGGCAGGAGCTTGACACAAACACAGGTGCCTTTCAGTGACAAGATCCAGTCCCCAATACTCGGTGCTGCCTGGCTTATGTAGGGCTGATCTCTGTGGAGGAGGATGTGCGGCCAGTGTCAGCTGAGCCCCACAAATAGGCCAGCTGTTTTGGGGATGGAGATGCGAGACTTGCCTGTTGGACATCTGGGGAATGTTGGAGCCCTTCTGTCCCCACAGCTGCCCCGGCTGTCTGTAATGGGCGCTGCTAGTGACACACACCTGAGCCGGGTAGTATGGATTTCCCTTTCCCTGCCCTGTCCAGGAGGCTAGATTGTGATGGCCCTGCAGGGAGGGAGAAGGCTGGCAGGGTAAAGCCTACAATAGCCTCTGGAGTATCAGGAAGAATGGGTTAGAGGCTGGCCCAGACCCAAACACATATCTCCTGTAGGCGACTAGCTGGCCTTTCCCAGAAGACCCGCACGCACCTGTGTCAGCAGAGACTGGCTCTCTCCTATCTACTGGCCCCTGATGTCACAGCTCTATTTCACCATCAAGACCCCTGGCAGCAACAGGAGGTAGTGTGCTGTCTTTCTGAGCCCTCCAATACACAGATAGACACACATGCACACACACCCATGTTCACAGAGATGTAAACACACATACCCACACATACAAGGCACAAATATATGCATGCCCACACAGCACATAGTGAGACACACAATTGCACGTGAGAGCTTGGCTCCATGCCTTCCCACCAGAATACACATACTCACTGAGCACACACACACACACACACACACACACACACACACACACACACCTCACCAGCTGTCTCTCCATGTCCTCGTCCCGAGGAGAGCTAACAAAGATGGTGTTCTGCATCAAACCCACGAAGCACCAGAAGGTGTCTGATTCATCCAAGACCTCAGCCAGGATGGGTGCCACCAGGTCTGACATGCCCTGTGAGTAGCCGATGTCTGGGTTGTACACAGCATAATTCAGCAGAATCCTCCTGGTAGGGTGGTGGGAAGCAGAGGTGGCTTGACCCATCCCACCCTTCAGTCCCCACCAGGGCCTGTGGTGCAGGTGCTGGGGCCCTCCTTCACCTTGGTCTCGGGGGAGGCGGGTGTCACAGCCCTGACTGAGTGTGGGTTATTGGCCAGGTGTGGTATGCAGGCCTTTAATCCCAGCACTCAGTAAGCAGGCAGATCTCTGTGATTTTGAGGCTAGCCTGATCTAGACAGAGAGAGTTCCAGGACAGCCAGAGCTGCATAAAGAAACGCTGCCTTAAACAAACAAACAAACAAACAAACAAACAAAAGTCTGGACTCTGATGGAAGTAAGTTGGATTCATTTTGCAAGCAGTAACAGCATTTGCCAGAGCCCAGAGCAGGGGCTTGGCAGAAATGCGGGGCCCGACTTTCTTAATGGTTCACTGTCTGTGACAAGGGTGGGCTGGCTGGTCGTCTTTATTGGCTATTAATTTTGTGCACTTATTTGCCAGGCTGCAGCAGAATATCAAAGATGGCGGCCTCTGGTTCAGTGTGGCGTTATTGGAGGAGGACCATCATCAGGGGATGAGAGCATGCGTGGCAGTGTGGGGAAGTATCCTTAGTGAGCAGGGGCTAAGCAAGGAGAGGGTGGGAGGCTTTGCTGGTACCCTGGGCTGTGACTGAGTGGCTGCTACAGGGGTCAGGAGCTAAGAGAGCTCATGGCTCCTCTGCTCTGGGTGGAGTACTGCACAGCAGCCAGGGAGTCAAACAGGGCCACAGACTTTCACACAGGGAGGCCAGAGTCATCAGGTACCTCATGCTCTCCACGTTCGGGTTGTCCTCCCCTCGAAAGAACTGGTTATTCCTATCTGTCCGAACCACGTCTTTGTCCACAGTGAACTGCACACTGCGCCAGAAGGCTCTCTGCTCCTCGGGGGTCATGGAGAGCCTGTGGAGCAGACAGAGCCCCATCCCAAGGTCAGCTGTGGAAGGGGGGCCCTCGAGGACCCAGGGAGGGGAGAGTGCAGACAGGGAGCAGGAGTAGCTGCAGGCTCCAGGAAACAGAAGCCTGTGTTCTCCTGAGCTCCAACGTCTGCTGCTAGGGCTGTTAGCAACAATAGTGTGTGTGTGTGTGTGTGTGTGTGTGTGTGTGTGTGTGTGTGTGTGTGTGTGTGTGTGCTGTCAGCATCAACCCTCCACTCCCAGGAGTACGCATGAATATGTGTGTGTGTGTACATGCATGTGTATGTCTGTGTGCCTGTGTGTGTGGTGTATTCAGACTTTCCTCATGTTAACTAAAAGTCCAGCCCCACAGAGGAGAAGCCGACTGCAGGCTGTGAGTAGTGAAACCCATGCAGGAGGCAGCCTTCAGCCCTAACAACCGTTCCCAGCCCAGCCTGACACTGGTCAACACTGGCCCCTCGCTAAGTCTGTTAAGCACATATTCTAAAATCCTTGGCATGTGAACTACAGGGCCTGGACCAAGGCACAGGGAGCGTAGTGTAGCAACTGCCCTTGTCCAGCCATTGGTGCTGGCTCTTGGGAGACTCACACTCCACCGAAACCATGGTTCATGCAATGCACAGTCAGTGATGAACTGCACCTCTGACTTTCTTGTCACCGCGGTTTGATGGGTTTGATGGGACTCCTGGGGCCCAATGCACCTTTTTTGCTGGATCGCTGCATATTCTTTTCGCTTCTGCTCCCGCAGCGCCTCACGCTCCTCCGATGTGGACTCGTGGCTGTAATAGTGCAGCAGGAAAGGCCAGACCTCCCCCCGGATCGACACATCAATGCCACCAAAGAAAATGGCCTGGAGGAAGCGGCACAAGTTGAGAGGGTGGAGGGGTACAGAGTATAAAACAAGGCAGCTCAAAGAACCCCAGATCCCCAGAGAAGGGTGTTGTGGGGCCTCGATTCAGACCCCAGCAATTTGCACATGTTTACAAGGGGAAAGTGCTGGAGAGGCATTCCCATACTGGGTACAAACTGGCTCATTTCAATGTCAAAGCCCCCCCGGGGTGGCATTCTGAGATCAATGTGTCATTCTCATGTCATGAACTAATCCTGGGGGTTTCAACACTTCAGAGTCTGCAGGGCCCACAAGGGATCCCCAAACTTGTGGAATTGTCTCCTCAAGGACTGCTCGTCAATGCAGTGAACGAACCCCACGCCAGGGACTGGCCTGCCACCCACCCTCCCTCCCTCCTACCTTTCCTCCCTCCCTCCCTCCCTCCCTGCAGCTTGACTACCAGGACTCCCTGGAGGCTGGCCAGGTGACCCTGCTGTACACTGTACCTGGCGTAGCTTATATTCCTCCTCCACCTGGCCCAAATCATTCAGGTGGTTGAGCCAGGCAGACACGTCCAGCCTCCGGTACAGGCTTTCTTCTGGGTGGGTCTCAGAGGACGGCAGCTTGGGCCTTCGGATAGAGAATTGCATGCATGTCCTCTCATCCGTGACCTGCTGGATGGGTGGGAGGAACCCAGGAAGAGAGCAGGATCTAAGATCTTGGGCTTTTGAAGCCTGAGATGCTGTTCCCAGGATGTCAAAGCCACGCTCTCCTCTGGGAGGGGGGGAGACACTGTCCCTGCACACAAACTCCTAAATGGCAAGTGTAATTAGACACAATTAAAATGAAAATACCTTCATCCTAAAATCACTCTCCCTTCGAAGCTCACAGCCTCCGCCGCCCCCACTCCCTTTCCTGCTCCAGCCGCAAAGAAAACCAGAATTAATACCCCTTATGGTCCAACTTCCCTCTGCCAGGGAGAGCCTGCAATAGATTCCATTCGATCGGCCACATACAAAGGCCCGCTGTTCGGCGAGCGGGGGAGCCAGCCTGTCAGATTGTCTCCATGAGCAGTCACGAGTCCAAGGCGAAACCGCAGCTGACATTTAATTCAAAAATCAAAGGTTGCTCGATGCAGGGGGGCACATACCTCTATTGTAATAAGGGGAGCCGGCAGGAGGCTCTGCGGGTAGGGCTGTAAAGTCAGCCCCCAGTTCTAATAAGCACGCACAGTATCTTAAACAGGTGACTAAAGGCTTTTACTACCTCTGTATGCAGACTGAGCAAAATATGGCAGGAAGCCTTGTCAAAACATGAGTCTTCAAGTGCTCAGTGACTTTCAGAAAGGCCTGGGCACAAATTTCAACCCCAAGCATATCACTGTCAGCCTCTGCAAACCACAGCCGGCTCAATGCCATAGTCCTCAGAGGAGAGTCCCTGGAGCCAGACCCATGAGCAAGATGTCTTGGGACCGTCCCAGACCCATGGGTTTGGCAGCTGATATCCTGAGAGAGGCATTTCCATCCCTCACCCTGACCAACCATGTCACCCCACTCTCAGCTACCTGGTCCCTGAGGTGTGTCTCCGTGCAGAATTTCCATTGCTGGAACACCTCGGAGAGCTTGTCCAGGCCGCCGTGGTGAAAGTGAAAAATCTTATATTGGCTCTCCCGGCTGGCCACCACCAGCTGGCCACTCGTGCAAGCTTCATCACTAGAGGGCCACAGGGTGGGGGAGGGATGAGCGCATTAACACGGGTTTTGATTTCTGAGTTTAATGAGAACAGCCACCTTGGGCAGGAAACAGTGAGTCCTAAGGGGGTCTGGCTGCCTGTGTGAGGAGCAGTGTCAACCAAACTCAGCACTCCCTCTGCCTAGGAAGCAAAGGCACCTGGAGCCAGAGGACCCCTGGCACGCCATTCCTGAGCTGCCCAGGAGACCTGCAGGAGTGCGCCAGGGCTGGCTGGGGACAGCTCTGGACCCTGAAGGGGGTTACTCAGCCTCTACCCTCATGGCAGGATCGTAAGGAGCCACAGGAGAGGGTGTCCCAAAATTACCTTCAAGCCTGTCACCTGACCACCTCAGCACCCTTGGGGATTCCTACAGGGATTTTTGGTGGGTACCGACTTGGATTGATGTGGGAAACCGTAGACAGAAGGCAGCAACTGGGATCTAGGAAGGAAAGGCCACCTCCGTCTAGGGGCCAGTGCAGTGCCAACCATGCAAATGACACACAGCAGCCTGCAGTGCCCAGCAGCAACAGCACCTGGTGTGGGCTTCCTTCCCTGAAGGTGTTGGGGACAGACTGGGGCAGCAGCCTACAGTGGGATCAGGGAGGCAACTGCCAGCATCCACTAGACCAGCTGCGGCCTTTTGTTACCCATGAGACTGGAAATGCTATGTGTGCCCCCACGTGTGAATATGCATACACACACGAACATACATGCAGGCACACATACTTGCACACACTTGCAAACATGCTTCCAGGAAGAAGAGGATAGTTCTTTACCTGAAGAACAGTCTCAGGGAGCGCATGTGGCCCAGGTCCACGCGGAAGACACCGCAGATCTGCTCCAGGGCGCATCCCCGCTGTGGCTCATCCCAGCGAGGCGTCTGCAGGAGGCCACTGCTGTCGGGAAACCGCAGGTTGGCATCTGAGCTAGAGGGGGAGCTGGCAGAGCAGGTGGTGTGAGGACCTTGCATTTCTCTGCTATGCCAGCCCAGGGGAAGGATGGGGGGGGCGTGTAACATATACCCTGAGCTTAAACACATAGAACACGATGGAACACGCTTTGCTGGAAGCTGTGCCCCAGATGCCAGTGAATGAATAAATCCTATTACTCTTTGTGCATAGAGATACTTTGATTGGAATAGAAAAGCATTTTTTTCCTAAGTAGACTCTGAGGTACCTTGATATAAGGTAGGAAGTTGTCAGGATGGCATACCAGACCAGAGCTCACACCTCCTGAATGAACAGAGGCGAGTTACCAAGCCTCTTGGAGCCCCTATGTCTTATTTATAAAGTGAAGACAACAAACAACAAGGTTGTCTCTGGAATAAGCAACTGTAAAGCGCTCAGTCCCCTGGGGCCTGTGAAGGGTGGCTGCCCCGTCAAGAGTCTCAGACAGTATGGGGCTTCTACATAGGTTTAGATTTCTTCTTTGTCTCTGAAAAACATTGTTTATGTGAGGAAACACACAGGCTACTACCATTAACTACATGCCTCGTGTAATGACATGAAAACATGGGCTTGGCCACGTCCCACGTGCCAGGGTGGTGGTGTTGTGTGTGCATATATACCAGAGTGTATGTCAAGGCCAGAGTCACTATCACGAATCTTCCTCGCTCCCTCAGGGTCTCTCAGTGACTCTGGAAGCTCACTGATTGACCAGATGGCTGCCCAGCACTAGGGCAGCCTGTTTCCCCCAGCGCTGAGGTTACAGGTGCATGTCACCAGGCCAAGCTTTTTAAATGTAAGTGCCAGGGATCAAACTCAGGTCCTTGCACTTACACAGGAAACACGTCATCCACTAAGCCCTCTCCCTGGCCTTCATGTTTTTGTTTTCTTTTTTGGTTGAAACAGGGTTTCTTTGTGTAGCCCTGGTTGTTCTGGAACTTCCTCTGTAGACTAGGTTGGCCTCGAACTCACAGAGATCCACCTGCCTCTGTCTCCCAAGTGCTGGGCTTAAAGGTGTGAGCCACCACTCTCCAGCCCTCATGTGTTTTTATAGCACATGATCTTATTACACTAGTAGTGGGATTACCCACAGTTCAGAAAATTAAACTGAGGGCTATGTAATTTGCCCAAGGTCACACAGTTAGCAAGTAGTGGAGCTAAGACCAGAAACCTGAGCTCTGTCCTTTGACAGTATGGCTATGGCACCTTATCATTCTACTGTTTTTTTTTAATCCATGAATTATTTACATTTTCTTTTGCAAAATATCTCATTATACAGTTTTGGGCATCGCTGGTTAAGTCCTGGACTGGAGATCTAGCAGTAAGTTCTGCAAACAATAGCCTGGGTATGAGCTGAGCAAAGGCAGGCAGGAGGCAGCTTGTGCCCTGTACTATCTCCACAGTCAGTAGCTGCTGTCTGCTAGAGTGAAACCACCCAGGGAACAGCTCTCTGGGAATCCTGGGTCTAGCCCCTTCTCTCTCAGCCCTCAAGGAGAAAACAGGGCCTTTCAAACCCCTGACAGTCCCCAGAAGGCCAGCCTTCTGATATGCCTCTCCTTCCCAACCAGTCAGGAAGTCAGGCCAGCAGGGTGCTCCCACAGGTCCAGGAAGAACTCCAGGCCTCCTGCTGATGCACGCTGTAAAGCCCTGGTCCAGTCTAGGTGAGAGCTGCTTCCTACCACACCCTGCGTGGTATTGGTAAGCTGTGTGCAAAGTGGCTGGGGTCACTATACCGTCGTGTTGAAGCACTGGCTTCCAACCGCCACAACCTCCCAGAACCCTACAGAGCAAGACGCTGAGCCAGGGCACAGGCAGAAGGTCCCTGCTGGTCACCAAGGTGCGGGCAGAAGGCCCCTGCTGGTCCCTGGGAGTTTCGAGTGGGGCAGGGCGTAAGATGTTTTTGAAAAACAATGGTTATATGAGCAGGTTTCCTGTTGTAATGTCAACAAGGTGACATTCAGGAAAAGGAGAGCTATGCAGACAGTTAAAATATCAGTGGTTACCCAGCGGCTGGAGGAGAGGAGACACGGACTGTGGAGCACAAGACAATACAGCCCTTTGTGTGACACCACAAGGTTATTACACATTTACCCAAACCCAGAGAACACACAACAGCAAGACAATGCCTTGTGCAAACTGTGTGCTTCTGGGTGGTAGCGATCCAGTAGTGCAGGTCCATCCACCGCGACGGCTGGCACTGATGCTGGGTGGCTAGGTCCCCTGGGACCAAGGACACATGGAAATCTCCTCAGCGTACCTGAAACTATCAAGCTAAGAGTCTATCAAGCCAGGTGCGATGGTGCAAGCCCTCAGTCTCCACACTCCAGAAATGGAGGAAGCAGGGTCAGGAGTCTAAGGCCAGCTTGAGTGAGTGAGTTATGCAGTGAGTTTGAGGCTAACCTAGGCTACTTGAGAGGCTATCTCAAAAGAACAAACAGGTGGATATTAACCAATAATAATAATAATAATAATAATAATAATAATAATAAAAACAAACCGCCCAAATATTGCGTATGATAAAGATTAATACTGTTACTATATTAAAATGCACATAAATTATAGAAATGAAAACTGCACAAGCAGAGTGTCAAAACGGAAGGACAGCTTCCTCGAGAACACACACACAAGCACATTACGCTCACATCTAGAGCAATAAAATGAATTCAAGTGCAAAAGAGACCATTCTGGGGTGGGTATTAAATTGGTGATAATTCAAAGATTATAAAATCTTAGCCAGGGGCGGAGAGATGGCTCATCAGTTAAGTGTAAATAATGTCCTTGTAGCAAACCCAGGTTCAGCTCCAGGCACCCACAGGCAGCTCACAAGTCCCTGTGACTCCAGTTTCAGGAGATCAGCCATCCTCTTCTGGAGCCTGTGGACACCTGTTTCTCTCTCTCTCTCTGTCTCTCTCTCTGTCTCTCTCTCTCTCTCTCTCTCTCTCTCTCTCCCTCTCCCTCCACCTCTCTGTGTGTATGCATATATATGCATAGCTAAGAATAAAAAACTAATTTTTGAGATCTAAGCCAGGAGGGGTGGCATATGCCTGTACTTCTAGAACTTGAGGAGCAAAGGCAAGAGAATCAAGAGCTCAAGTCATCCTTGGCTACACAGTAAATCGAGGCCAGAGTGGGCTACCTGAGGCCCCATCTGGAAAACAAATCAAACAGGCAAACGTGTGTGTGTATGTGTGTGTGTGTGTGTGTGTGTATGTATGTATGTGTGTGTGTGTGTGTTTGTGTGTGTGTGTATGTATGTTTGTGTGTGTGT